CCTACTTCTCATTGGCCGAATATTGGTTAACAAATTATAATTTCATTTGAAACAATCATGGAGTTAATATATTTATCGATGTGGTAGCCACCAAGGGAATCTGTAATGTTTTTATCAATGTTGCTTAGCAAGGACACAAACCCCGTTGGCCCTACTTAAGACTTGTGTTTATCCAGGATTTCAGTTTATGCAGACAGGCTGTTTTAGGTTCACATTTGGCTTTTGCTTGTTGAAACCGCAACCTCAATAGCTGTGGGGTTTGGTTGGTGTAACTCGATAATCGGCAAAACTCAATCACTATTCACTAACTACGATAGTTTTAGGCTAAACAATCACTCACCTCTTCCTTAATTGCCTTCACCGCCATTTATTGCTGAGTATCAAGTTCCACCATGAAATTCTCATCAGCTCCAGCAGACTTAGCAAGTCTAAGGGACTGCCTTATAGTAAATTATGTTTTATTTTCTTTGCTTGAAATATTTTCTTGATTATTTTGATTTCCACATATTTTATTTCATGATGTATGGTTTGGTATAGGCTGTTGTTACGAAAGTTGGACAAGATTAAAAACCGGATTGAATACCAAAAAATGATCTTCTATTTTTGCTATTGTCATTGTTTGATATTGAATCTCAGTTATTATAAATCTAATTATCTGTGAATCTAATTAATGAAGGACCAATATACTTGTGTATTTAGTTTCAAAAGTCATTTGAGCTTTAATGTCTGGAGTACAAAATCATCATTTGAGCTGTATAAATATGAATATAATTCAAAGTTTGAAATCAAATTCCATCACAATTTAAGTGGCTTTCTCTTGTTTTTCATTTTGGCCTTTTGTCTAAATACATTTTGTTAGTGTTCAACATCTTCGGATGGATACTTTACTTTAGTAGTACTTTACAATATCGAATTAGAAAATTAATTAATATTTGATTGTATTGTCCCTACTTAAAAATGAAACAATTAACTTTCACAATTTCATCCATCTAATAATTAAAAAATGAACATTTTAGCAGTCAATCAAATACAGCTTACAATATATATATATGGGAGGATTAATTTATATCAAAAAAAAGTATTTTTATCTTTTTAAATATTTTTTAATCATTAATTTTAATAAATTCAAATAATGAGATTAAATTTTTTTTATTTATTTCTTGTATTCCTTAAATTTATTAAAATTAATGATTAAACAATATATAAAATTAAAATATTTGATAACAGTGTAAATTGATATAAATTCATCCTGTCGCCCATATATATATATATATATATATATATATAGAGAGAGAGAGAGAGAGAGAGGGACACTGTTATCATGATTGTGGGCTGAAAAACGGATTTTCTTCCTAAAGCGTGTATTAGATGGGGGCAGAAGGAATCTGATGTCTGCCCACTTGCCCAACTGTAGCCCACCCAGGGCCTTTAGTGTTGGACCACAGGCTTTTACTGAAAGTTTCACAAATATTCCGACCAATAAGCAACAAACATACAGAAGCATGATGAGGTGATATCAACGTTGGTTGTCCACACTCAACCACTTTCGTTCAAAAGGCGTGGGCTTAAGGCAATGTAAATATAGGAATGGCTAAATAAAGATAATGTAGTAGCCAGCCGCTCGCCAGAGATTCTCATCAATTAGTATATGCGCACTACCATTGCCTCATGCTTCGTTTTGGAATGTAAGCAAAAGAAACCAGAACAAAGAAAAAGGTTTTTCTTCATTATTTTTTAATACATTCATCATTATTGTTCACATATGTAAGATTTTTTTATAAATTATGAATCTCATATACATTAATGGTAATTAAAGATATACTAAAAATAATGGAAAGGAAGCAATCCTGATTTACTGAAACTCCGAGCATGCAATGGCAACCTTTTTGCAAAAAAATGTATTGTTTTGTTGACTTTTAGTCATAGATAAGAACAGATAGTTAATGACTTCATATATAAATATGATGAATTTGGCTGTGTAGCAAACTAAGGAAAAAGGTTCCAACAAATGGATGATGATTGATTCAAAAGCTGAAGTCATGGCGACTTGAATCTTAAATATTCAATGATCTTCATGACCGATGCGTGTTTAGCCTTGAATTAAAATGCCTTATATTTTCTCGGATTTCCTTAAGAATTGTCCCATTTCCAACAAGTATGAACTCCTGCGATCAGTAACACCCTTCTAAGATTCTTGACAAAAGACGTACTGACCATGCTTAAGTAAAAAGTCTGCGTTGTAATTTGCACATTTCTCATTGAACGGATGCTATAAGGAGCCCTCCTGGTCTGCTTATTCAAACCCCATTTCACAGATAATTTCTCATCATTCGTTTCATCAAGAAAGCAGAAAAAAAAAATGATAATCTCTTTATTTGTTTGATGGGAAATTCCTGGTTTGGAGAATCTTATGAGTGACATTTATTAAACATGTGAATTCTTATTTTCAGCATATGGACCCCGACATCAAGGTATTTGTTAATTAGCAAGAAAACTAGATTTTTTGGGTGGAAAATGGAATCAAGCTCAAAAGTATAGAAGCATATTTAGCTGCATTAATGGTGAGCTGTTTTTAGATCCCTGCACTTCAATCATTTTGTTTCCTTTCTCCTTTGACCACCGTTCCTGTGAATAGTGGGAGGAACCAAACATTGCTCTTGACTCTATACAAAATTCTCTCTATCCTTCCAACCCCATTACTGAAACTTTGAAAGTGCTTCTCTCCTTTCTCATTTTAGGAACAAAAGATGCCGAAAGTGTTGAGAATTGGCAAATGCCTAATGGCTTAGGCAGTGCATCATCATAGTTATCAATGTTTTTATCACTATCAATTTCATCACTATTTTTGTTTCAAAGGTAGAGTTTAAACCATGGTAACTTTTTGTTGGGTAGAGTTTTAATTAACATGCATCCTTTTCCTATTCATTTTTCAAAAAATAAAAAAAAACATGTATCCTATTCAGCTTCATCACTTATCAGACAGGTTTTCTTTAGAAGATAGACATGCTACTATTGGAGCATTAACTAACCTATTGGTCGTATAATGCTCAAAATGCAGAAAATGACATTTCTTAAGTAAATATTGTAGTTCAAAGGTTTAATCTTTCAAACTACAAGAATAGGTCCCGTGAATATCCCAATTCAGAACATATATATTTATAACACAGAAATCATGAAATCTGAAGCATGAGGGAGAGCCCCAGATTCAGTAATGATCCATTTGGTTCCAAAGATTGCCTTCTAATGCCCCAATAGACTGATGACACCTTAAAGATGGGATGTGATCACTTTTAAGGTAGGACCCCGATTTGGAAATGGGTGTCCTAATGGGCCTGGTGAGTTCTTTTAAACAGTGCCAGAACTCAACTGCCATAGTGGCGGGTCTGTTGCGGTGATGGCTAGGAAAGAGTGATCTGATGTTGGGGCTTTTTATAAGAAATCCAGAAGGGGACAGCCTCTTGATAACAACAGCTACGCAACTATAGTGCCCCACAATCCCGCCTTGGCGTTTCACATTTTCTTTTTTTCTTGTTTAAGTTTTTGGACTTAATTAAAGTTCGACAGCTTGCATTCGCTGGTTGGTTTTTGGAATTCCAATGTGCCCCAAAGACCTCTGGTTTCTACACGCCAATTATTGGATAAAAATTTCCTTAATTTAACTTTCATTTGTTTTGAGCACCTCCACAATTTTTAATTTTTATTTGAATCCATTATGAATCTGGGTTTATTCTAAAGGAAGTCTCCTGTCGGGACTCAGGTCCCGATTGATCCTTGTCTTCTTATGGCTGTAGCTTGTTTTTATTACAACATATACAATAAAACCTTTTGAAGTTTCCTTGTTTGAGTTGGCCTTCACATTGGCCATACGGTCTCAACTATGAAAAGGAAATTTTTTGTTGCATGATTACCTGATTTATAAGTGGTAATTGAGCTTTCCTGAAATTGGCCAATTCATCAAATGCCTGTCTCTTCCACAAATTCGTCATAGATTAAAACGATGACTTGAAAGTTTATAATTGGTTGTCTCATGTCAATGATATACGATTCGTGTTCCGTTATCTCCCGTTTGTTATAACTTCTCTTTCAAACCTCTTTTTTTTCAGAAACATTATCTCTTAACCAAAAAAAGGTTCAGAAATTTTTAAGAATATTGTTGATCATACATACTCACAGTCCACTGATCATAAAAGATTCATGGCATTACGTTTATAAGGTTCTTGGCGCTTTTATATTTTATTTCTTTTTTTGGTTTTTTATTTTGGTTATTTATCCCTTATTTTGAATTAATTTTTATTTTTACTTTTTCACTTTGTAGTAAAAAAATAGAAACCAAATAGCAAGACCGTAAACCAAAGTAAGATCAATGAAATAGAGCTGATGTTTTGCAGTTTCCTCTTTATTTTACTAGTTAAGGGTTATAGAGATAAATAAATATGAGATCCATCTACCAAAAAGGTGTAAAATTCTACCTAATTACCATCAAACATTTTCTCCGTTTGTTTCTTCTTTTTCACTCTCTTTCTCGTGAAAGCAAAATAAATATCTAGATCTATATATAGTACGAAGAACAGAAAACTATTTATCCTAACTAACCTACATATGTAATGCTTTCCTTAAGCAGAAAAATAGAATATCATTCATATCATCAGGGGTTACATGAATTATTATTTTATGTTTATCCTGCATATTAAATTAAATTAAATTAAATTATTATTATCCTACCAATTCCTTCACTCAAAAAAGTTGATTGCTTCACTCAAAAAAGTTGAAACAAGGGTTGAAGCATGAACAATTTGATAGTAGTACGACATTATAAGCATATGGCCCGTGACAACTGAAATGCAGGCCTACGGAATGTAAAAGAAGTTTAGAAATGCCTATTCAATAAAATAATTAACATATTGATTTTCCCATGAAAAACAAAGTTAAAGATTCAATCTCATCCACGATACCCTATACATAATACTATAAGGAATCCCTCCCATGATATCTTCCAAGTTAATGTCAGAAAATAAAAAACGATGTTCTGTAGCTTATTCCATGTGAACACCCAAGCAGCCCTTCCCTGGCTTAATTTCCTCGCTCTCTCTCTTACTTGTATATAAGCTGTGGGTCTACAGACAACCTTTATTCATATCAGAGCTTGTTTTATCTTTGAGCAATTTATCGGGGACACAAAATCCCAGATGGGTTTCAGGTGCAAAAGTCTGTTGTGTTTGTTTCTCGTAGTTTTGCTTGTGCTTTTGCAAGTAGCAAGTGCAAGGCAACATTACTATAATGTGACTAGATTAAGAGGTAGAAAGCAAGTGAGTGGATGCAATTTGTTTGAAGGCAAATGGGTCTTTGATCCTTCCTATCCTTTCTATGACTCTTCAGAATGTCCCTTCTTAGATCCTGAATTTGACTGCCTTAAGTATGGCAGGCCAGATGAGCAATATCTCAAGTACTCGTGGAAACCTGACGCCTGTAGCTTGCCAAGGTACCATTTTTATTCCTTCTTTATTTTCTTTTAACTATCAACTCCATTGTAGGATCTTTCACTGAAAAGGATTTCCTTTTATTTTTTGTTTTCCTTTGCTGTTAGATTTGATGGGATGAGTTTTCTGGCAAAATGGAGGGGAAAGAAAATAATGTTTGTGGGTGACTCACTGAGTTTGAACATGTGGGAATCTCTGGCATGTATGATTCATGCGTCGGTGCCCAACTCCAAGACCATATATGTGAGCAAGGACCCTTTGTCTTTTGTAATCTTTGAGGTTAGTAACTGAGTATTTGCCTTTCTTGGATTTGAAAAATCAACTCAATTTTAACTCTGCATTGGAATGAATGTTTGTCTGTTTTTCATTACTCTATTCTTCCCATCATTCTCTTTAGTTATCCTTTTCATGAAGTCTAGCTCCAAGCCTCCTGCTGTTTCCACGATATACAGCTCCTTATTTTTAGAAACTTTTCTGTGTTTCTCCTTCCAATAAGTAGGAATTCCTTTTTTTACTCTTTGTGGCAGAACATAATATAATCTGTCTACTGGGATTGGTGATATGGTGGCCTGAAATAAATCTAGTTTAGGACTTTTTTGTTTGAGCTTATTTTGGGGGTTATTTGGCAGAAATCATGCATAAGATTTTTCTCAAACTAAAAAAAAAAAAAAAAACGTGATTCATGTTGTTACCAAATTGTCTCACCATCATCTCGTTCTCATAATTAAATTTGACATGGACATGGGTCTCATGACTGAACTGTACTTTAAGTTTGTCTTTCATTTTCTTTTCATTTTTCATTCCTTAGATGTTTAGGATTCTAAAAGAGGAACATGTACTTTCTTTGAAAGAATTAGAGCAAAACTTATAAACCATTAAGCCCCATTACTTTTTTGGTGTTTCTGTGGCTTAGGTAGAATGTTTCTGTTTATGGTCCAGGCAAAGCTTTCTATCCCTTCTTTCTTCATTTATTTGGTTGTCTTAGTAGCTAGGAGCACGAACAACAGGAAAAGTGCTCTCTCCTTTTATGGTTTTTATCATATTTCATATTTTATTTCAGGACAAAATGCACTGTTTCATTTGAAGCTTAGTAGTCGGTCCAATAAATTATGGTAAAAAATATCCCCCACTCATTGCTTTATTCACTACACTTTTGACTTGTCAAGAACAAATGTGAGAAAATGAAGGGTTCGAAGCTTAAATCAGTTGCATGATTAGTAGCATCTTAACAAGAACGAGTCATCCTCAATTCCTCATCCATCACCGCACACCACTGACAGCTGTTAAAAGCGACCTGCCAACCTGTTTTGCATTAAGAGTGAAATCAATATTCTTTGAAGTTGAGATTTACATGAACAAACACACTGCATAATTTTCTTCATTAACGTAGGAATTGTTGAAAAAGAATGTAAGAAATCTATAGATGACATTTCATTTTTTCTCATAACTCTTTAACCTTTATTTCATTACTTGATGAGATTAAAACCGTGTCAAAATATTTCATTTTCCTTCCATGTTTAAGAGATGATTTGTGCTATGCAGGATTATGGAGTGACTCTGTATTTGTATCGAACACCATACTTGGTGGATATAGTTAGAGAAAATGTTGGTGCAGTGCTTAATCTAGGCTCCATCAATGGTGGCAACGCATGGAAAGGGATGGACTTGCTGATCTTCAACAGTTGGCACTGGTGGACCCACAAAGGAAAATCTCAAGCGTAGGATTTTTCATCTTTATTCATTTACTTTTCTTCATATCCCAGGGGAAATCGACCTGATTTTTGTTGTTATAAATCTTACTATCATAGATGGGATTACATTAGAGATGGGTCTGCATTATACAAAGATATGGACCGTCTTCAGGCGTTCAACAAAGGGCTTACAACTTGGGGTAACTGGGTTGACAGCAACGTCGATCCTACCAAGACCAAGGTCTTCTTCCAGGGCATTTCTCCCACCCACTACGAGTGAGTTAAAAGAAGAACCCTTAGCTCTTCCAAAGAATGCTCAATACTACTTTAAGATACCAGTAACTCTCAATTGCCTACTTCCTCCTTCCTTAAGAAAATGCTTCATGATAACTAATTATAAATATTGATTGTGTTTAATCAATCAGGGGCAAGGAGTGGAACCAACCAAAAAAGAGCTGTTATGGAGAACTAGAGCCACTGTCTGGCTCTACATACCCAGCAGGTGCTCCTCCAGCTGCTGCTATGGTGAATAAAGTTTTGGGGATGATAAGGAAACCAGTTTATTTGCTTGATATTACAACGCTCTCGCAATTGAGGAAAGATGCTCATCCCTCGACCTATAGTGGTAAGCATCAGGGCAACGACTGCAGCCACTGGTGTCTTCCTGGCTTGCCTGATACCTGGAACCAGCTTCTATATGCAGCTCTCGTTATGTGACACATTGGGCAACAAAGAATTTATCTTTTTTCTTCTTCATACAACTGTACATTCAGGATGGTGCTCCAAAGTTCTCATCTACTTCTGGTAGGCGATAAGGAGGGAGCATATAACTGTGGGTGACAATGAGGAATAAGGGGGCAAGGATAAATTGTAAACTGATTGATTTTTTAAACCAGCAATAATTGTTTCAAAGTGAACAAAAAAATAGGACAGATTTTAATCTTTGAAGAATCTTGACCCTTGTTGGACAATGACACCAAATTTCTATGGTAAGTTTTGGAGAAATAAGGTTGGTTTTCCACCATGCTCAATAAATCTCCTTACCTGCATAAGCTATGTCTCTATCACCCACGAACAACAGTTTCACTATTAAAGAGCAGTTGAATTATTAGTATTCTCCATTATTAATTAGGAAAACAATGATCTCAGTCAAATAAAGACTTGAGGAAATTATGTTGAGCAGTAAATTATTATTGTCAGAAAGATCAGTTTGTACAAAAAGAATTGTACTTGTTCTTCTGGCAAAATTAGGATGTTCGAAAAATCACCAATGTCAAAAAAATTCACATAGGATCAGGAAGCAGGATGCAACGACGGCGGTCGTACAAATAATCTCTGCCAAAACAATCCCAACTTTTATTTTCGGCATAGGTGCCCCAAAGGCGGAAGCCCCACCTACTGCCATGATCCGAGTACTCCGGCAAAATATACCAATTAAGACATTCGAATCAACGTATATCAACTCCTCTAAGGTTCAATTCTAATTTAATGAAATGCAAGATTTCTTTGACATGACTGGGTGAGAGATTCTGTCTCCAGAATGACAAAAAGCAGCCCCATTTTCAAGCAAAAGGATGCAACAAACAAGAATACAAATTAAAATTTTCTATGAATAGCAACAAGAAAGACAACATGTGAAGCAATTTACATAGATTACAGCCTATTACTTTAATTCCTTAATATAGCCCTTGACAGGTAAATGGTATTTGTTAAATCTGCACTATGTAAAGTACAATTCATCTGCTATGAATTAACTACAGTGGATTTTGCATCATGAGTGAGTAATAAGTGAAGACTGAAAACTAACCTTAAAAGAAACATTCTAGAAGGCAATGTGTATAAAACTAGTAGCCAACATAAACTGCAGTATTGACTATGTAACAATCATCATTCTTATCTCCCATCTCTTCTACTTGCACACCACTTGAACATATTAGTCCTCCATCCACAACTTCAACGTCCAAAATTTTTCCACTGCAATCAATGGGAAAAATGAGAACAAACAAACAAACAAGAGAGACGTTTAAGATTTTTATAAATATTGCACACACAAGTATATACATGCAAGGTTTCTATATCAATACATCACAGGATAGAAACATCTGGCATAAAACACAAGGAGTGTGTAATTGGTTTGTTTTACATGGATGCTCTAATTTGGTCCTCCATCATTTGCCAAATGTTAATTTTCAAACTCAATGAGATGGAGTAATGTAATACTGTACTAGAATTGAAGAAGAACATTAAGCAGGACAAATAGAATAAATGCTTACTGAGAATAGAAGTGATTTGATATTTGTGATAGAGAAATAACATCAATTGAAGAAAGGCATAGTTAAATTAACAGTAGTAGTTAGAAGATGAGAGAGGTTTGGACATTGGTTAAATTTCAGACAGAGTAAGTGATGCAATTCGGTGGCTGAGCTCATTGGAAAACAAGGGCTGTTAACTACTTAATGTCATGCTGGCAAATTTATTGGTCACAATTTGGTAAGAATGTATTGCAATGGATTTCTTCACACATTAAAAACTATAGATGCTCTATATGTTAAATGCTATTAAATCAGTTAACATCGGTTAACCATGATATGTGCTTAAACCAGAACCGGCAATTTCTGAAGCCAAACCATGATGCTTCAAATATCTTTTCCCCCTTTCTTTGTTTGAACAAAAAGAAGATCGCGGTTCCGAAAATTAAGGCACCAACTTCCAGACGTGTGGATACTCACTAAGGAAAAACAGACTTCTACCTCTCAATATCCAATGACTGCTGGAGAGAATGAGGAACTCCTAACTTGATCAGTAGTTTCATTTGGTCAAATGTGACCCCAGGTATGGATCCTGCACGAACTTTATCTTATTATATCTAATTAAACAACATTCATAAGAGAGTTCTTAAATCCAGCACGATGCCCAAAACTCTTTATATCATACAAGTTATAAACACGGAGAAGATCTCTAGCAATAAGCTGAATTTAAGAAGTAGATATTTTTGGCCATTGTTGGTCAGGTCTCGTGAGTTTAAAAAGCACTAAAGAGAAACAACATAAAATCCAAAAGCCTTCTTACCTTACTGCACAAAAGATGAATAGCAAATGCATATACAGCAAACACATACCTCTCCTAAATGCAGGAATTGAATTAGAAGAAATAGCATCCCTGCATGCCCTCACTGCTGCTGATGTAATATCTTGCCTGCTTGCAAATAATTCAGAAAACCAACACAAACAAAAATGTTTTTATTGGATTAAACCAAACAAGCAAAAAAAAAGTTTTTCATATAATAAAGAGAACCCAGAAGAGCGAACAAAACGAACCCATGTTGATCATAACCAACACCCATCTCCACAAAAAAGGAGTTTCATGGATGGATTTGAGGTGTTGCCAGAAGTGATTGTGCCTACACTTTGATTTGTTTCCATGGCTGCTGTTATAAGGCGTTGAAATCTAGGACGACGAGGATGATAGAGCAGAAAAGTTGTGGTTTGGATGAAAGTGAAGGTTATGTTTTGAAAGTGGAGAGAGATTCAGGTAAAGTGAAAAATGGCAACTTCGAAACCAAGCAGACACAGATACTCAACTACCCACTGCCCCAGCCCCGACAAAACAAAGACATTTGAGTAAAACTAGGAAGTAAAAAAGTGCATCTTATTATAATTATTTTTCCTTCCACCACATCTTTGGATTTTGAGTCGGCCCAATTTTTTATTATCAGGCTTAAGCAGGTGCACATAAATCAAGACCAGCCTGTTTTACTCTAATGGTAAGGATTTGATTTTGAGACCAACCCATCTATTATTCATGTCCAAAAGTCAACTATAAAGCCCATATTAAAGCATATGCATACTTTCTTGTGAAAAACATATGAAGCAGATGTTTATCCAGCCAGAAGTTTCGAAATCAGGTAGTTTCAAATGAACATAAATCTAAGAAAAGGAGGAGAAATCAAAGTCTCGGTTCAGCTGTCTTCAAATTTCTATAACAGTTAGTCATCAACTGATTAACAGTTGGTTAATCAGTGTTCCTTCTTTTTTTAAGATTTTAAAGTTAACCAGCTGGACAATTTCAGGTGAAGGAGATTGGCTGGTGGAATACACTTTTAAAGAGAATAATTATTCAATAATATGGTCTCCAACCAACTCAAAGTAATGACCATTTATTGGAGAGGTTCATCCCCTGTAATTAGTTAGCCTTAATCAAAAGAATTTGTGTTTAGATTGATCTTTTAAATTTCAATTGTAGCTTTAGCTTTTACCCAATTTTAAGATTTTCAGCTTATTATTATTACTTTCACTTGCTGGAACACTATAGTTCAGCACAAATTTAAAAATGGTACACCAAACCTTTCGAAGTTTCCACTAAAAGCAAAGTTGCTGGCAGTTAAATTAAAGGTCCCCTCTTTGCGTTAATATCGGCAAGAAGTTTGATCCTAAATTCCAATTTCGAAATCTTTGGGCAACCAAGCTGTGCTTTGTAATCTAACTCGTTTAGTAATGAATCTGAGTTTAACTATATTATTTCATGTAATCATCTTCAAAAGTTATATTCAATTTCTAACATTTGTAAATTTTTTTTTATGCATCTACTTTATAACAAAAATAATTGTGAATGTATTAGATTTCAAGATAAGATCGCTGGTTCTAAGATCTCTTTCGTTGAAGCAACAGCAGTCAATGGCTTTATAAAATACTAAATGCACTTGGCCGTAAAAGACTGCACATCTACACCCCTAAGATATCAAAGAGATTTGGCTCATGCAAAGTGTTTTGGGATTAAGCTTTGCAAAATTTTTCTAGTGAAATTCATAAAATTATTTATTAAAAATCAGTAAATAAAAATTTTAATATAAAATCTAAATCAATAAAAACAATAAATTTTAATATAAAAATTAATAATATATAAAAATATTTAAAATATTATATATAATTCAAATATGATCAATATTTATTCAATAATAAAAATTATATCAATATTTTTATTAAAAATATATATTTAATTAATATATAAAAAATTTAATTTTAATTTTAATTTATTTATTTTTAATAAAAAAATTTACAAATTTCATTTATCAAGTTTCATGTAAATCTTTTTCAAAGTTTGGAAGACACCCAAAACATATTACCAAAAAAAAAAAAAATAGCTGCCACAAACACTCTTTCAATATATTTTATAGGGGAAAGTTTACTTGACGAGTCTTAAACTATATTTACAATACCTGACACAAGGCACAATCACTAGCCACATGGAGATTAAGAAATCAGTATTACAACAGCTGGGTTTAGATAACACAACAAAAACACCTATATCCGACAAAGATGTTAAAGCCGGTTTAGGTGATGCTGTAATTACAGTTTCAATCGGTTTTCAGAGTAAGAGCTGGCAGCATTACTGTTAGCTCCAGAGTGACAGAAGAAAATTTTAATGGTGACAGTCCCATTTGGCCATTTTACATCAGTTATGCACTGGAATAAATTGAATGTGCGAGTAAATAGCAGCTGGCATTGTATTCACAGACACGATGTTTTTATCTTTACAACAAAAACTGGTAGCGGATTCTGAAGCTGAGTTTGCTACAGATATTAGCAAGGTGTAGACCTGCAAATAAATTTTTTTTGTTGGTTTTGGCATTGCACATGGCACGATCTGGCTTTGTCTCTCAGCTCTTGGAAAGCCCTCATAGTTTCAACATCAAATCCTCCGGCAAACTGTGTCAATAAACAAAAGTGTTACCTACTCATTGCCAACAAAAGCAAAATTAGAGTCTTGGTCCAACTTGTACAAATTAATGAGAATGCTAACCTGATGTACACGGAATGCAAATCTAACTCCTTGAACAATCAGCTCCTCTTCTTCGGGCCCGCCCCCAACTGCTTCAAGCTCCGCCGATACTCGTCTCATGTACTTCATTGCTAATTTCACTAATGCTAGCTTGATCTGAAATAATTTATTGGCATATTAATGAATTAACAAACACCAATGACTGCAATTAATGGAATTCAGCAACTAGTGAGTCTGTAAAAACACGCATCTCACCAATTTACGTTAATGTTACTACATAACAATTAATTTGTGAAAGGGCTAACTGATAAAGCCAGGTGAATAATATCTCGTCAAAAAAGAAGGAATAATATATTAGCAATTGCATTTAGATTAAGAGCTCAACAAGTTTATACTTTGGTGTCTGTTTTAGATGCTATAAAGAAAGCATTATCAATCCCAGCATTAGTGACTCTTACAATATGCAGAGCATAATCGGTCAAAGATTGAGAATCCCAGTAAAACATAGAAGCAAACAAGCAAATATGTTTAAAGATTTGGGGTTCACATGTAGAAATGCATGCATGCCCATTGAAAATGAAGAGTAAAATCTAACCTTCCTTTTGTCACCTAGCGAGCACTACTTAAAATCTATAACCAAATAGACTAATGGAATTTAAGAATGATGGGTGTTATCTGTTAATTATGACAATTCAGAAAGAAAAGGAAAGTCATAGTCCCACAAATTTACATTCTTTAATAATTGAAGTGTAAATTTTTATACAAGACATAAAGGTTGAAAAAAAAAATTACCTGGCTCACAATTCCAGTTTCAAACATCCAATCCATAGGAATTTGGAATCCTTTGTACCTATTTGCAGCAGATTCTCTCATTCGGGAGAGGTTATAAACACCATGCTCTAGCCTGCAGCCATTATCGCATTAATAATTGAATGAGAACAAACGGATAAAAAGTGAGTAATACAAAATGAGTTTATAGATAAATAAGGATTATATACTTTTCAAGCAGAGCCTGCATCTTCTTGAGAGCTGGACCGCAAGGTTGCCGGACATCATCACGAAACAACGAAGCCTCGGATTCTAGTTTTTTGAGATCACAATACCCAAATGCCGCCTCGCGCAATGCATCAGCCTTCTGCTCTGGCCAATCGAAATGTTTTAGCACGGCTCTTTCATCCACCTAAATCATGAATAAAAACACTAATCATCAAAACAAAAATATGAAAGGACAGTAAGAATCGAATGGAAAAGAAAGGAAAATATACCAAGTATGAGAGCTCATCGTCCAGCCATTTAACAAAAGGCACAACATCCTCAACATCTGTAAATGCCGCATTCTCTACTTCTTTGATCAAAAACCTTATGAAGTCTCCTTGTGTTTCTACATCTGTCTTTATCTGTGCAATAATAATCACAAAGACCACTATAAATTCCAACAACTGAACACAAATGCATAACAAATCTTAAACAATAAAATTTTGCTGTTATTGGTTAGTAGGAAATTCTAATTATTACTAAGATAATCAGATTTTATCTCTACCTGAAGCTAAGGACCAGGCTGCCAATTTGTACGATGTTATTTTAAATTCAAAAATGACACCTAAATGCATCAAAATTACACCTTTTTTATTTAATTTTTTAAAATTCCTACATCAAATCTAAATGCTGTCTTATCCAGCAAGAAATAAATGAAACCTAACAATAGAAATGAAGTCACGGACGACCAGTCACTTGTCACTGACACAAAAACCACACAGTCACAGTGGCATTATAGTGGCATTATAGTAAATAAAACTAACACCGGAAACCCGAAACTCACCGCGAGCAAATGAGCCGACCGATTCTCGATCTCCCCAATCATATCCCTTGCATTGGCGGTTGTAGTTAAAACCTCCGGCACGCTACAGCCAACGGCCTCTCTTTTTGAGTCCCTACGCATAAGCGAGTGATAAAACTCCACAACCTCCGGAACTCTCCTCACTCTCGCTTCAACCGCCCTCATCCCCTTCGGAGGCGGAGGTGGAGGTGGCGGTGCAATAGCTTTTACAGGCAGTGGTGGCGGGGGAGGAAGTGCAACTTGCTTAAGTGCTGCCACTGGTGCCGGAGGCGGCGGCGGCGGAGGTGGTGGTGGTGAAGGAATTGGCTTCTCTGTGGAATCAGAGGAGCTACTAGATGACGTCGATGATGTTGATGATGATGACGGTCTCGGCGGTGGTTTTGGAACCCTAGGAACACGAGATCTGATGCTAACAAGAGTCGACTCAACGAGTTCCTCAGAGTTACTCCTTGAGTGTCTGGGTCTCTCAGTTTCAAGTTCCTCTCTTTTAAAATCCAAGCTCTCAACTTTCTCATTATTCAAAGCACTAAAAACAACAGGGTCCATACATTTACTATTAGTTCTTTTGAAATTCTTAATCAGATTTGATTTCACACTAACTTCCACTAACCCTTGGAACCGCTGCGAAGAAGAAAGTAATTCGTCGCTATCCCCCGTAATCTCCGCTTTACTACTGCTACGATCAGAATAAGACGACACCGTTTTTTTCAGCTCCGCTATCACTCCCTCCATTTCTCTCACTTTCTTCTCACTCTCTTTCATTTCTTTTTCAATCTTTCCTTTCATTTCCTTTACCTCTGCTTTTAACGTCTCGTTTTCATTTCTCAAATTCTCAATCTCTTTCAGAGCTCGTTCCAGCTCTGCATTTTTAACTATGATCTCGTTTTCCAGCACGGGAACAATCGCAACCGATTCTTTTAAAAGCTTGTGCTCTAGAAGCTCTGTTTTGAGCCTGGACTCTCGTTCCCTTAACTCTTCAACCAATCGGAGAAGTTCGGTGACATCAGGTGGACGAGGCTGAACTTGAGCTGAGGATCGTGGGAAGTAAACGCCAAAGGAACGTGAGAAAACAGCTTTCTGGGAAGTGTTGTTTTTGTTTGCTGAGCTTGGAGAAGGCAATGGTGGTTTAGATGGAGTTTCGTTCTTTGGGTGTGCAGGTGATTTTTGCAAACCCATTGCTAATCTTACCTTGCCAGCCACCATGATAATATGTGTTTTTGCTTTCTCTTACTCTTTCTCTGGTTTTTGGTTTGCTTTGGTTTGATTTGGTTTTTAGGGTCCTCTAATTTTTTTTCTGTAACAAGGGGAAGGGATACAATAGAAGTCCTTGTATTTTTGGTTTTTCAGACAGTGAGGTCTCAAACTTGGGAACTTGTGAAAATTTGAGTAATAGAAAGCGAAAAAGAGAAACGAAAAAAAGATCAGAAAGATCGAGACTAGAATACCTGATAGTTTAAGAGAGGGAAACAAGTATAAATTAAAGAACCAAAAAAAGGGAAACATTAAAGCGCAAATATCAAGGAACGGTCTTCTTTTCTCGGATCCAGTTTGAAAAAAAAATTAAACGAACAAAAAAGAAAATTCAATTTTTTTAAGAAAAATGTTAAACAAAAGACTCGTACTCGCTGTTAGGACATGACAAATGTAACATCAAAAAAGCGTCCGTATCTAAATTGAGTGTTTGTTCTGTTTTTAGTGTAAGCTAAATCTACTCGCACTTTGAAAGGCGTGGTATTACGTTAGAAATTTGTACATGTTCATGACTGGAGCTTGTCGGGTAGAAGCGCGTGAGCGATTTGGGTGAAAGTGAACTAAACATGGGGTTTTGTCAAGGGGATAATAAGAGTGTAATCAAATTGACAAAGAAACAAAACCAACATTTGGAAACTAGAAAAGGTCCTTCCAACGGTCGGCTCAATTGAACTCTCTCATCTATTTTCTCGCCATATTCTCGCGATTTCTCCTGCTTATAGTCAAACAGGTCAATTGACAATGAAAAAGTACAACATGATTTTATTTTGGTTATCTGTTCATGGATTATGTTATGCAAATCAATCAAATGCTAAAAGATTTGGAATTTGACACGTAATCGCAAGTGTAAATATTCATTTATTATTTTTTTGGGCGAGGGAAGTGTCATATTCATTTAGTCTTTTGGTGAATAATTTATAAACACATTGTTAGATGCAAAAATCATAGCATGACGCATTTTAATTACACTTTTTATTATAATTCTATGGTTATTTAATTACAATAAAATTTTATGTAAAATTTACTATTTATAAATATTTTTTATATAAAATTTTAATAAATTTTATATCATTATAATTTATAATTTATTAATTATAATATATGATCGTAAATAAAATATTTTCTTACTATTACTAAAAAAGATAGAAACTTTCAACATTACATTATTTTTTATAAGTTAAAAAAAAGTTAAACTTGGTGTATTAGGCTTAATTACCAGCTAGGGTTGCTAGATAGGGACATGGGGTTATGACTTCACGAGATGCTAGGATCTTGAGTAAACAGGTTTTTTTTTTTTAATCTTTTAAGATACTAATTATTCAAATTTAAAACTCTCAATCTTAAAATTAATTTTGGTATAATTGAATTAACAATTCATTAATAATCTTAAGTAAGCGTTAGTCAAAGTAAATATATCCTATCTTTTGTAAAATTTAGGGTCTAGTCTAGACCATGACAAAGATGGTACCATGAATTATATTTAAATGCATGTTTATGAAGAGGAATTATTGATTGATACGTCAAAATAAAGCAGGGGGAAAGGCATTAATCTCGTCCATGATTGAAGTTCCTTCAGTGTTCCTCCATCCTTGAAAACTGACAGATGTTATTTATTTCGTTTAAAGTCGTTGTTATAGGCTCAAAATGTTGCCTGAAAACAAAACAATTGCCAATTCATTCTTTAAGAATTGAGAGTAAAAGGCAAACATATGACTAAACTAAAAGAGATTCAATCAAGGCCAGATTTACTTTTTATCCATAGATGTATGGTGGACTTTTTGACAGAAATTTCGGCTTTTCATCTTTTATAAATGAATGGAGGGGAAATATAACTCAAGGGTTCGAGAGGTGAAATCTACCGGATAATATACTCTATCATCAGTACTTAAAAATTAGTTTAAGTTTTTATTATTTTATTTAAAAATGATTAATACACTTTTAATTAAATTAATGATTAATTTTTTAAAATTAAATACAAAGATAAATAAAATTAATAAAAATAATTTGAACAATAAACTTAATTGAAAGTCCATTACACATATTTGGATAAAAAGAATAGAAACTCCACGGTTTTTTTTTTTATGAACTTCACTACTACCTATTAAGTAGCAGAGAAAATCATTTCCTGAAATGAAATAGGCCTAACTAACTCTAGCAAAGTCCATAGAGATGAAGCTTATTAATATTTCTCTATGAAAATTTTCATATATGCATATATAATATATGAACATGTTAAGTTCCTCAAACATTATGATATTAATATATCATCAAAAAGGAAAGGCTGACCTTGATGAAATAAATGCATGGGGACCATTTATGAATTTGCTTACAAATAATTTCTTCAAAAATACTGAACATATTCAATATATATTTATGAACCATGGAAATGTTCAGTGCATGTTAAAACGTTGTTTTCTACATAAAATCAAAGCTAAACGGTCTATAAAGAGATCCAAAGTTCGAGATCTCTTCGACCGAATAAAAAAAAAAGTTGGAGATCTCTCTTCATTAATTATTGTGTTTTGGAAGTCGAACATATATATATATATATATATATATATATATATTTGCAGAAGTGATTTTGTTTTATTCATTTAAGCTAGCTACAACACACTAGCTTTACAAAATTTTTGATTTAATATATTTCCTCAAGTTTAGTCTGACCACTTTTTTAACTAGAGGATTACTTTTAGGTGTGGCAGTAACAAGGATTTGTCCCTTAACTCAAATAAGAGATGAATGATTATTGAATTGGAATTACATAGCTGACACATCGCTTTCACTGGACAATGCTGATGGTCGATGCTTATAGTGACCATTAACAGACTCTCGATCATCTGCTATGAGCTATGATCAGATGATCGTTAAAAACCGGTAAAGAGGAGCCTTATTAACACTTAGCAGTGAGCTTTGCGCAGCTGGACAGCTGCATGCATGCTTGGGGAAGCTCTGACACGGACTTAAGAAGAAATGCTTCTGAAATCTTCTCTTTGCTCACCTCTTTTACCATTCAATTCATTATTAGGGGCCATAGCCAGCCTGCTGGGAACTGAGCTGGTCACTGTCTTTAAGGCTTTGTGATGGTACACATCTAAGGAGATAGAAATACATAAAATTGCAAACGCATAGTTTCATGATAGTTGTCGTGATTAATTCCCTCTCCCAGTTGGAAAACTTTTGAAATCACAGTCACGCTCAAGGCCGAGAACTCACCGCGTAAATTACAGTACAATCATAATTATGCATTCATCGTTATTATATATTCTTGTGATCAGGAGGTGTTGAAGCAAAACAAAATGTGAAGAGCAATTGATATATACATACTTAGGAAAGCATGAAAGGAATGTAACAAGGATGTTGAAATGAATGAGTAAATGAATGTGGTCCTTTTTGAAGCGCCAATCCTTCGAAGGCTCAAATCTTAAGATGATTTTGCTTCGAGCGCAAAGGCCGGTTTCACATGCAGAGGCCAACGAAGCATGAGTTAATGTACATCCCTGAAATGGCATTGGGGCTCCCCATTCGACCTGTTAACATGGACATTTGACTCTGAATAATGGATTAGGGCTTAGAGATTTCCCTTTTCGGTTGCTTTCAGAGGGCCAACTTGTCACATGCTACGGCGCTATGATAAGACACCAAGTTTTCCGTGAGAATATATGCATATAGACATGAAATTCATTATTGATCACTTAAAGCTATTTTTAAGAAGATTAATTATTATTGTCCAATTGCAAAGGTTCTGGTTGATTTTATAGTGGAAGTATCTTTTATTTTTGTTTTTGTTTTAAACTAGTTTATATGATAGGACTAAGATTGAACTTAAATTGCAAAAGAAAAAATCACCTTAATATAAAGTTGGAGAAACCTAATTGATCTGCGGCTAAACCTTTTCCTTGGTGCCTATCCACCTTTCCATTGTTCATGATTGGATTGTTAACTAGCTTAACGTTGCTTGCAAATGAATGAACTTGGGAAAAATACATCTAATATTGTTTAATTCTCCAAAATAATTAACTAATTAACAAGGCAGAAATTATTTGATTAATTTTCTTAATTATATATAATGATGGTGGAAAATAGTTCCACCACTTGTGCCCCAAATTTTTGTATTCTTCAAAGTGGCATATAATTATTGGTGTGATTGTAATTTTTCATTTATAAATTAATTGATTTATCCCTAGATTTATATAACTCACCTTTTAATTTAATCAATAATTATAGACCTTGTAAGAAAGTACAAAAATTTATATAAAGTTAGCGTGGGAGTGTGGGACAAGTAGCATGATTTAGGTCTTGTTTTTATCTTTTCAAAAAAGAATTCATAGTAGCACTCTTTGTTAACTTACCTGCATAGATACATATGTATATTTGTCTATACGTCATCACCATTCAATCGAATATATTTTTTAAGGAAGAATTCAATCTTAATATTTGAGAATGTTTTATTGAGGTGATGAATTGGAATTTATTGAGAATTTATAGAATTAGATATAGACAGTTTACCATATACAAATTCTTAATAAATTGCCTTTTTGGCTTTAAAGAACTTTTTTTAGATGGCTAATTATCTTAGCGGAATTCAAATTGAAGTTGCTGAAATCAAATCTACACCGAAATATATATATATATATATGCACATGCCAGGCGGCTAGTATAGTAAGTACTGTTCAAGTGCTTAATGTTGCAACAGTACTTGTACTTTTGTCCCTGAAATTCACAATCATGGTATTCAAATTTCTCATTATGGCCGTAAAGAACGATTGTGAGAAGAAATATGGCTTCAAGAATAGGATACCAGACATTACATAAGGCTAATTTACTTTTCATCCGAATCTGGGGAGCTTGTCCTCATGTTGATGTGACTTCGGCTTGAGCCAATTTGGGTCCCCGGAAATGTGATGGCCAACGACATGTAAATCCATGCTCCATTACAATACAGCTACCGATGCAAAAGGAGCAGCTCAATTGCGCGTTGTACGACCAGGACATGGTTCGGCTTTAATATGCATTTTGCGTAGGCCATGACCATACAGGCATTTCCTAGGTCATAGCCTCTTAGCAACCTACATATATAGTCGGATAGTGCCCATGTTCCCTTGTGTGCTGTTCTCAATTCTCAGCCCCCTCCATCAACTGGGGAGGTGAATTTAGTTGTATTTATTATTTTCAGCCTTTATTTTAGATAATAAAAATTACAGTGCGTGAACAGAAAGAAAATCTATAAGATTTAAATTT